TCCCCCTGCTGGTCCTTCCCCCCCCCCCCCCGTTTGGGCACTCAGGCTCAAAAAGGTTCGCCGTCAGTGCTATAGAGGAATAATTAGAAGTTTTTGGTATTATGTTAATGTCTGGAAAGGCAACTGAGAAGATGGAATGGAATCCCGCTTGTTAGTTCTACGAGAGGCCGTAGTGATAGGAGGCAAAGTGAGTTGCTGTTAGTTCCATAAGAACAAAGGAAGCTCCTGAGTGAGCCCAATGTGCCATATAGCCCAGTATTGTATCAACTGTATTTAGGATAGTATTCTTAAAAGCTCAAATCAACCAACTGTAATAAGTTTGTAGGAAGAGCAGCAACTGCACCGTTTAACATCAAAGGTGTGTGTTTACAGGGGAGAAAAGAAAATGGACAGTCTTGCTGAAGAGAGCGGCACCAAGGCAGGAAAGCTTCCTTTGTTGGCTGTAAAAGTATTGTAGTTTTCTGCATAATATGTCTAGACAAGTTAATGCAGATATCTAGCCTAAACTGCATGACACTTTCTTTTGTGCACTTAAATTTCTCTGCAAATTTCTTTTCCCACTAACATTGTGTTTATGTTTATATGGTATTTATTTATATATATATTTATTCATTCATTTGCAAATGCTGTTCTGGTAACCCTAGTAGGTGAGGGATGTTTTGACAATGAATTTCAAACAAAAGGAAAAATGGAACAAGGTGGTTCCTTTGCAGTGTTGATTTAAAAAGTTATGTTCTAAGTTTTGGTGCTTTTTAGTAGCTTTAATCTACTGGGGCATTCAATAATGTTTTATTTGTTGCTGCTGTTGACATAAAAGTTCTGAAGCTTCACTTCATCAGTTCCTGTGTCTTGTCCAGACATTTACTCAATGTTCACTCTACAAATGGTATTAACAAGCATTCTTTTTGCTCCATTACATCAAAAACACTTCAGGCATGACTCACAAAAGGGATTAGGGTGGTCTCTGCTCTCCATTCTTGGTAAAACTGAGGATGTGACTACACTGACAAGCGGCATCAGAGCTATTTGGCTTTGTTGTCGCTTGATTCACAATCTCTTTCATGGTTACATTAAGCTCAGGTGATCACAAAGCCCTCAGATTGATTTTGTGCCAGTGTCCACACTGGCCTTCAGTCCAATGTTATTTGATACGCACCCACAGCACATGCTCCCCACCTTCCTTCAGTACTGCTCACCTGGCGATCCCTGACTGTCCTTTTATCTTTTTTGGTCTGTGCAGAGGTGATCTATCATCAACTCAGTGATGAAGTGCTGAAGTAAGTACAGTGGCGCCTCGACTTACGAACGTACCGTATTTTTCACACCATAAGACACACTTTTCCCCCACAAAACAGGGGGTGGAAAGTCTGTGTGTCTTATGGAGCGAAGAAAACAGATTATATTTTCCTGTTTTCTTCTCCTAAAAAATTGGTGTGTCTTATGGAAACTGACTGTCCTTTTATCTTTTTTGGTCTGTACAGAGGTGATCTAACATCAACTCAGTGATGAAGTGCCAAACTAAGTACAGTGGTGCCTCGACTTACGAACTTAATTGGTTCCGGAAGATGGTTGTAAATTGAAGCACCATTTCCCATTGAAATGCAATGAAATGCAATTAATCAGTTCCAGCTGAAGAAAAAAACAAAACAAAAATAAATCACTGCAAGACTCATTGGAAACACGATTAATCCCTTCCAGCTGGGGGGCAGGGGAGAAAAGCAATCAAGCGTGCAAGAACCATCATAAATGCACAGAAAACAAAGGGAGCACATTGGAAATGCACAGAAAACAAATGGAGCAGATTGGAAATGCAAAGAAAACAAACGGAGCACATCGGAAATGCACAGAAAACAAAGCAAAAAGCAAGGGAAGTATGCAAGACCCATCGGAAATGGGGAACCCTCCCAAAAAAGCAACCAATGCCCCAAAGACCCATCAGAAATGGGGGGGGACAAAAACCAACCAAACTTGAAATGGGGAAAAAAACAAAAACCAACCAAACTCCCCAAGACCCATTGGAAATTGGGGGGACAAAAAACAACCCCCCCAAGACCCATCACAGCACAGAAACAAAACACCCCCAGCCCAAAAGCACGCTGCAAAAACACCCAGAAGTTTTAAAAATGCATAAAGCAGCACCTTACCTTACCAGGCAACCTCCTCCGATTGCACACTCTCTAATTGCTGGGGCAAAAGAGCTACAAAGAAGCAGCCTCGTCGCCACCTACAGTTAGCAATTTTAATTTCCTGCCTTTCCTCCCTGCCTTTTTCTGTTCGTAACTGGAAGCTCTGCCCGCAAGTCAAAGCAAAGTTTTGTGGCCAGAGCTGGTCATAACTCAAAATGGTCGTATGTCGGGACATTCTTAAGTCGAGGCACCACTCTAGTTTACTTTTTTAAAAAATAGGATAAAGATCATGGGTTGAATGTTCTTGCTATCCCAAACATCATGCCCAAGTGTAATATATCAGAACACCACCCATTGTCATGCCCCTTTTCTAGAATGAAAGAATAAATCATACAGACAAAACACCATTCAAATCATTTTGGCTTTGAAAACGTAGAAGCCCCTGACAGCGAGGGGAAAATCTCCAGGCCGATTAGCATTGGCATTTGCCTGCGTGATAATTGAAAAATACTTTGAAATGCAGAGCAAATCTCAAAGTATTTGTCAGTGTAGTCACACCCAAATAAATTTCTGCTTCAAGGTTTTATATGGCATTTTAAAATACCCCTTGTAGAGATTGGTTCCTTTTCTGCGTTCAAAATCTTTGTTCTCTTCAGTTACATACATGCACCTTTTCCTACTACTGCACGTGCAGTCCTGTATATTTTGTACATACATGCACCTTTTCCTACTACTGCATATACAGTCCTGTATACTTAAAGTATTATTAAAGCTGAGAAGGAAACAGGAGGCTACCTTCAGGGAAGCTTGGTTACGGAAGTAAACTGTCTCAAACTGCATCTCACTATGCCAAATGGCACATTCAAAATACTTCAGATTTCATTGACCTACATGGCTAAACTAGTAAGTGAACAAATATAATTACAGATTAAACCCACTATATAAATGCTTGTAAGGCAGCAAACCACCATCACATGCATGTAGATACAGTACTGTAATGTAGTCTGTTACTGGCATTGACACTTTGATCAGCACTATGAAATTCAAATATTGGCCAGCCAACTTTTGTGCCTGGTTTTGCCAAGGATGGCTAAGCACTGCATAGAGTCCCGAACTCAACTTTTACTTTGATCTGAGCGCCCTTGGGTAGTTGGCAGTACATGTTGACACCTTTCTTTCCCCCAGCAGATGGATCTTAAAGACACTTAAAAAAATGTTTAGCACCATAGCTCTGATGTAGTGTTATGTGACTAGAGCATCTGTGAGAAATGTAAATTGCCACTGCCGTGTCATTGGAGTGCTAACACTGTTGGACCAGAGGATGGACAACATGCACCCTCCAGCCTATTTTCTGCCACTTGTTACATTTACTGCTGCATCACTAAAATTAAGTGATGTACTGATAAGCAAATAAAGCACTTTTGTTTTAAACCAAAACTTGTTTCAAAGCTGAATCTCATTCCCAGAAGTCTTGTGAAACATGATTCAGTATAGAAATAAGTTGTATGTTCCTTGTGCCTTTTGTAGTATAGCAGAAGTAGGGTGATGTGGTTGCACTCAACTCTTAGGGAACCATGCAAGGACATTTCACCAATGGCCTCTTTGAATGTGTTTTTAGTGGTGTTAAATGAACAGGATAACCGTCATTTTCAGAAGACACTTTTACCATGTAGTTAGATAACTAAACTTGTTTATTTTAAAATTTCAAAATAACACCAAAATAATAGATTGCCTTAGTAGATAAGAATCCAGCTTTATTTCTTGTCTTAAGGCTGTAAGAGAGAAAACTTAAATAAAAATTATGTGGACAACCATTCTTCTCTGTTTAGGCTTTTCACAGGACACAAAGAAGCAGCTATTTAGTAGAACTATATTCCACAGTGCACCCGTAACAGCAGTAACTCTAAGAGGCTTAGTCTGTACCTTTCAAAGTGCAGTCTGTGCACAGTGGCTGCAAAGCTATCTCCAATCTAACCTTAAAATAATATGCTCTAAGGCAAGAAGGAAACTGAAGGCCCTCCTCCTAGGGTCCTTTTGTCCGTAGGATGAACAGCTAATATAAGGCTTTGCTTTGAAAATCTGGAACATGATAATCAAAGCAGGGTACATCTTTGTCGCTATGAACATTTGATGCTTCTTCACGAAGAGTGCATGGGACAGCAACCCTGTTAGAGAGGAAGCTATCGTGCTCAAAATGTTCCTGTGTTAAGAACAATACAGGTAAAAACATCAACCAATACCTCCTGCCATCTAATTCTCTCCAGCAGCAATGAGGAATGCATGGCCCTTCAAAGATGGTTAGGCAACAACTCCCAGCGCCCTTCCCCTTTGGCAAGAAATGCTATAAGTTGTAGTCCAGTAATAGCTGGAGGGCCACACATTCCCTAGTCTTGCTCTACAGCAAATGAGACTTCTCTTTTAAATATTCAGTCAGATGGGTTTCTTAGCTGTGGTCCAGGTACCACAGCTCAGTGCCAACTGAAAGCCATCTGCCATTTTTGAAAACTAGAGCAGCTATGCATTAAAGGCAGATATACACATTTGTGTACATGCAGACCCTTCTGCCTGAGGGACTTCTGCAGAAAAAGAAATGAGCTGTGCCATTCTAACTTGCTCTCTCCTATTCCAGGCCCTACAAAACATGAAATTTGGGTCTACAGCTACTTTTGACATGTAAACAGGGAAGAAATTGTCTTTGTATAGTAACAGTCACCTAAGCATAAGTGACACTGACCAAATCTTTTAAAAACTTGACAAAGGTCTTTGGTAAAGGACAAAAGAAGCTTTAGCTTCCTAAGTAATAGTCTGAACACCAAATGTCTGATTGCAGCACAGTGCACAAAAGTTAAGGCAAAACAGAGACTATTCTTGAAACATACTCAATTTGCCACTATTACCGGATGTCTTTAGGCTACAGTGTGGATACCTGCATGATAAGCACCCGCTACCAAAAGCTTCCACCAGCTCACACTCTGCATAAACAAACAGCAGAAAGAACATGCTTGACAAATATTGCTCTAACTGCTAGAGTAATATTTTTCAGTAACTACAAACAACAGTTCTGCTATAACAGACGCTTGCTGAATGGTTCTCTCTCTCTCTAGAAGCATGCTGGAAGCTGTGAATCTCAAGATGTCACACTGAACTTTCAAAAGGCTTGAGGAGGAAGAAAGAACAACTTTTGTAAAGCAAGGAACCAGACAGATGTCAACAAGTCTGGTGGATTTTGCAGCTACATTTAGCCTGGTCCCTGTGATTTTTTTTTAAACAAGAAAACAAATCAGAAGAAAGACACATTTGTTTTTAGCTTCTCTTATTTTAAGAGTTTGTTCAGTTCTTGCAGTAGTTTCATAGCAGCACTGTTCTGTGGTTCAATTTTCAAAAGGCTGTTAATATCTGCTTTGCTGGATTTATAGTCCTGGAAGTTAAAACAGATTTAGAGATTAGGCAGGGAACTGTAAGGGTCAGAGCTATCGATTTACTTCCTAGAGAAACTTAAGCCCAGGAAAACTTGGAAAAAGCACCCCATATTAACACAAAGATGCCAAGTGTATTACCATTTTGGTTGAAGCCATTTTACTATTTCTAACTGCATTCCTCTCTTCTATCTCTAGTATGACATCAGCCCAACAAGGTTATCCAACAGTCTAACAACCACAAATAAAACTTCCTTGTTCAACTCTCACACAAGGATAAAGAGAAACATAAAGATTCTGTGTTGCTCCTTGCAAATCCAGAATGTTAACCACAGCCCAATTTCCATCCTTTCATTCCTTTTTGCTTGCTAAGCAAATTCATTTTCTAAAGTAGAGAGAGTTATGATTAGCCTATGTGTTAACTTGGACTAGACACTGGAAAGAACACAATGTAATACAGAAATGAGAAGTGACCAACTACCTAATTAGACATGTTAATGTCTTATGTTAACTGAATGAAAAGCGAAAACTTTAAGTACTCTATGAAGGAGAAAGTATTATGTATGGATTACTTGTAATCTACATCATAAGGATCACTGTCTAATGAACAGTACTGGAATACCTTACTAGATTGTTTTATAGATCGGCAAGAGGAGCTATTGCTTCAGATGTGACCATTAAAGCCTATTTTAATGTACCCCCTTTGGATATATTTTGCTCACTACTCTCAATTGGGTGACCTTCTATCACTTACGAATCTACCACAGTAACTCCTTTCCAGTGATCTAGCAATCTCCCAACTATCCTGTTTCCCCAAAAATAAGACCTAACCTGAAAATAAGCCCTAGTATGAGTTTTCAGAATGCTCGTAATATAAGCCATACCCCCAAAATAAGCCCCAGGTAAGTAGAACCCCGCCCTCCACCATCGTGCAGCAATCAGAAGATGATGACATGACTGTATTTGAACAAATGTAGATGGTTGTACATTAAAATAAAATAAAATATCTCCCGAAAATAAGCCTTAATGCATTTTTGGAGCAAAAATTAATATAAGACCCTGTCTTATTTTCAGGGAAACATGGTAGATTATTGCAATGTATCCTACATCTTGTGAGCCAGCATCTAAATGTAGACATGTGTGATAGCTGGGGTTATCCTTGTTAATAAAAAAAAAAACCAAAAAAATCTGTACTATATCCCTCAAAGTTGGTGAATCACTCCAGTGTCCCACAGCAGGCAGCAGCCAAAGTGTACAGAAAGTCAATTGTGATGGAAAATACAAATAAGGTTTGGAAGCAAGGTGGGCAGAAGAAAAAGTTATTCTCCTCTTCCTGTTTCCCACATTACTGGAACAATAAAGGAGGTGGTGCAGGAAACCAAAGAAATGGAAAGAAAAGGGACAGAAGGGAAGAATTCTACAAACAGAGTTAATGATTGTTCAGAGATGTACTTGGCCAAATCATTACATTTTAGAAGTCTTCTGACTGCAAAAATATGTAGGTTGCTTCATAATGGTTCTGAGAATAAAGCACTGCCAGTAAAATGTTCTGCATATTAAAAACATGGTACGAAGTGAGAAAATACGTATGAGAGAATATAACAGTTCCTAACCTGTACCTCCCAGCCACTTAGAATGTCAGTAAGTTCCTTTACCTTGAGCTGTTTGTATGCTTGTGCTCGTCTGTAAAATGCCTTAATGTTCTTTGGGTCTATTTTAAGAGCTTCTGAGCAATCCTGAATTGCCTCCTTGTACTGCTTCAGAGTCAGGTAGCAAAGGGCCCTGGAATGTAGACAACAAGTTATAAATGGTTTCTGAAAACAATTGGTTCAAGAATCTTGAATTTTGGAATGATCAAACTGACCCACTGGAAGGACTGTTGGAAGAAATGCTTTTTTGTATTTTGAAATACTTGCCTTTTTTGAAAGAATAAGCATAAGCATAAAGCCCAACATTACAAAGTATTTTGAATAAACTACTAGAGCTAAAACTAAAAAATGTGAACATTTAGGACATATCCTGTAACATCTTCTAAAGTTTCACATTTTGCACCTAAATTATCATGGTAGTAATTTTCCTACATTAGCAGTGGCGCCATACTTGATTATTTCCCAAAAGCTGGCTCGCTGCTTTTCAGTGATAGCCAATTTAAGTGTCTTCATACTGAACAGTAAATCTCTCACCTTAACTCTTCTTCCAGGACATAAGATTTTTTGTCTCTTCTGTTTCAGAGCTTTGTACATTTTGCAGTAGAAACATACAATGCTGTACCCAGACAATATATATTCTGCTCCAACGAAAGCTAGATTCTGCAACATGCATGAATTATGCAAATAAAGCAAATGCACAATTCTGAATAATTTATTCTGCAGTTCTTGCCATGTTGCATAATTTATTAGGGGCTTCTTAATTTTTAGAAGGTAAGAAGCTATTCAGAATATCCTACGGAACCTGGAAATCTTAATACCATCTTTATAGAATTCTTTGACAACAAAAGGACTTTTTATTTACCTACATATTTTAAATAATCTGTCTGTTAGATGGGCTTACTAGTTCAAAACTTTATGCGCCAACATTTTTATTTTTATTGGTTTATACTGCATTTTGTCATATTTGACTTGTTCAAAAACAATTGTGACAGATGAACAAAGTACATAAATTTTAAAAATTGTATTTCATATCTTCTTTCTTCATTGAAATCCCCCTGAAAAATGCCTCTGGAAGTAGCAAAGGGTCGTCCTGAGCAATTATGGGCTGATATGAAAGCTTTCCTTTCACAAAATTCCTTAAGTTAACTTTTCTCAACAACTGAGGTATTAAAATCAGTATCTGCTTTACTTAGGTTAAATGGATACAAGTGCTTCAGGTTCCAAGATTTTCAGCAAGGTTTGTGAAACTGCTTAAATTATACAGCTCTGCTATCTCATGTGGGAGAAATCTGGGGTTTCCGTCAAATGATGTGGTAGGAGAAAACCATGCTACAGCTATTCTGAAGAATTAAACTATAAGACAAGGGTGGGATTACACATGGCTTCCATCTATTAACTTCAAGTCCTTTGAAAAATATTTATACGGTTCCCATCCAAATGAGTCAGTGTCTCTGACTGGTGCAAACATTCTGTCAGCCTTTTTAGCGATATGGCAGTGGTCTTAGTTTAAGGAGGAGATAAACACAGGATAAGTAACAAGGAACAATTCTTGCCTGTTGCTTCCTTGGGGCCACTGACTAGTCTAATTGAGAAAGGACTAACAACAAGAGAAGGGAAGGAGCACATGCAGGGACATCACTGAAATGTACAGAAATGCAAAATTTTCTACTGTTTTCTGCCCTCAGGATAAATGACAACTGGAAATCAAATGTCAATACTCTGATGCTATAATACAGCTATCTGATACTACTACTTGGGAGCGGTGGTGGTTTATTTCTTACAAGTATTACCTGTTAGTGTAAGTTGTACTTTCCAGTTTATGGAGTTTTAAGCTCTCTGTGTACTTTTCAACAGCTTTCTTGTAGTTGCCTTTCTTTACAAATTCATTTCCTTCTAGCTTCAGTGCATTTGCTTGTTCGGTTGCAGCAGCTATAGGCACTGGAATTCATATTCAAGAAAAAAGGTGTTATGTAAAAATGACAGCAGATAGTTGCATAATCATTATTAAAAGCAGTGGTCACTTCATGAAAATAAAGCAGTCATAAATATTTGGGGATGGAAAATTAAAACACTCCCAAAGTCAATTCATTATGTTTCATTTTAAAAAAATTCAAGCAACTGTACTTTCATGGATAGTTCAACCATGCTTTAGAATCCAAATGTAAGCAGTATTCAGTAAAATGATGCCATACAACAGTCAAACAATCCATATATTATCCAGTAGTATCAGAGGATCTCTGTGTTTTTGTGCTATTGCAAGGGAGAAAGATTAAGATGAGAGCCAGTCCCATGGTGTTTACCTTTAAAACATAAAACTGTTATACAAGCATGTTCTCACTTAACACATGTTGAAGTGAGATACTCATACACTAGATAGCATTTTGCACAGGACCAGTCATCTTATGAACCAGCATATACATGTAGACATGTGATGACTGGTCTTATCCTTAGGTAGAACAAGATAGCCATCTCAATCAGTAGATGCTGGGGGTAGTTGTGTTCTGTTGGGAAGACTGAGCTGTATGTGCCCTTTAAAGCAGATTACTGCTTTCAAGACAATCAGCTTCTGGACATGGAATGGGAAGAAAATTATGTCAACCTTTGCCACAGGTTGGGCGACCCTTGCCATATACTATATAGTGGGCCCTGTTTTTGTTCATTATCTGGGATAAGAGAACAGAAGTAGTGGCTGGATGGAGGAATTAATAAAGCAGCTGGTAGACAATGAACTTGACTGCATTCACTCTGGTGGTCACTCATCATGCAAACCTGATTCATATAAAGAGTTTTACCACTTCAGTTACTATTTAACTAGATACAGCCAAATTCCACCTTCACACCCAGCCAGGAGATTGCAGTTAAAATGGAATTCCATCAAATAAAATTGGACATCTGGGATAACGTATGCCCCAATACTGTAATTTTTTTTCTTACAAGAAGGCCATGGTCTTTGGAAGTATTTCTGTATGTCCTGATACAGTGTGATAAAACACCTAGGCCTAGGTATTCCACTACAGTGGTGCCTCGCACAACGATTGCTTCATACAACGACGAATTCACACAGCGATGGGTTTCTTTGAGGAATTTCCCCCATCGTTTAACGATGTTCTCTATGGGGGAATTTCATTCAACGATGTCCCTTTTTTGCTCCTGTAAAAGTGTCTTAAACTGTTAGAAACCTGTTTTAAATGCTTGCAATCGTTATCCCACCTCCTGAACCCTATGCAAACTTAATTTGGTGTTGTTCTGAGTCGTCGTTAATTTTTGGTGAATTTTTTAATTCTCCATTGAAAGCCTTTGAACGGTCCGGTTTTCAATGCATTCCTATGGGAAATGGTGTTTCGCAGAACGATGGTTTCACACAGCGATGAATTTTTTGGAACCAATTAACATCGTCGTGCGAGGCACCACTGTATTTACAACACTTGGCTAGAAAGAATTATAGAAAAGGTTTTTACATTTTTATTCTGCTGAAATTGTATCAGTGCCTAGATTACCATTACATCAACACTACACTTAGGCACATCTAGCTATAGAGATATTGCTCTTATGTATAGCTACTTTAAATGAAGTCACATCTTCAAGGCCAGTTGAGCCTAGTACCAAGGGTACTAGAGGAACCTGCTGGTGTCATCTCAGAGCCTTTGTCTCTAAAGGTAAAGGTCTCTAATCTTTGACAATTCGACGGTACATGAGATCTCTGAAGACAAACACCATCTCCTTCTTCAAAAAGGAAAAAATAAGATCTGACCCACAACTGAATGGTCAGTTAGCTTTGATACCAGCTAACCTTCCAGAACAGATCATAAAATAGGAGGACTGTGGGCAGCTAGAAATGAACAATGATTCTGCTTCATGTGGTATGAAACTCACACATATGGATCTTGCACCTGCACAAAACTACACCTGCAGTCTTCTACATCTGAGTAGTTCCTGGCACAAACCCTGCTACCAAGCCTCAGTTCCACCTTCTCAGTTGTATTTTGTCTATCATAAGAGCAATATATTTGGAATGTGTTTCTTTGGCTTCTCATTGCTGGGTAGATTCTTGCGCCCAAGCTGGTAAAATATGGGAGATGCTCCTGTTAATGGATTTGTATCTGATTAATAAGCCATATCCAAAGAATGCTCATCAAGGATTCCTCAGCATCCTGGAGGAAAATGAGAAGTCAGATGCTGCCAGATTTAGTCCTTGGTCCAATGTTGTTCAGTATCTTTATAAACGACTTACATGAAGGGATGCTCATTAAATTTGCAGATACCAAATTCAGAGGGGCAACTAATACTTCAGAATCAGAATTCAAAATGATCGAGCAGATTGGAGTATTCGACCAAAGCACATGAAATAGAGTTTCAACAAGTGAAAACTGTGCCCAAAGACAGGATGGGTAACAGCTGGCTTGTGTGAAAATAACAGCGATGGCGACCACAAGTTGAACATGAGCCAACACTGTTATGTGATAGCAAAAAAGATGAATACAATATTTGTTTGTAGAAAAGTATAATGTTTGGCTCAAGCAAAATAATAGTACAACTCAATTCTGCTTTGGTCAGACCACATTTGGAATACCGTATCCAGTTTTCGGCATTATAGTTTAAGAAGGATATTAACTGAAGAATGATACTGACAAGCTGGAATGTGTCCTGAGTGTCCAAGAATGGTAAAAAGTCTGGAAAACAAGTCCTATGAAGAACAGTTGAGATAAATGGGTATGTTTTATTTAAAAAAGAAGAGCCCAAGAGGTGCATAATAGCCATCTTTAAATATCTGAAGAGCTAAAATGTGGAAGATAGAGCAAGATTGTTTTCTATGGCTCCAGAGGATAGTACTTGAAGCAACAGATTCAAGTTCTAAGAAAGGATATTTCAATTAAACTTTAGCAAGAACTTGCTGACAGTAAGAGCTGTTTGACAATGGAATAGGTCAGCATGGACTCTCTTTCTTTGGAAGTTTTTAAACAGAGGTTGGATGGCCTTTGTCAGCAATGCTTTAGCTGTGGATCTTCTGATTCAACAGAGAAATTAATTCAGTGGCCCTTAGAACTCCTTTCCAGCTCTACAATCTTATAATACTGTATGAAGAAAACCAGTAACATAACGGCAGAAGTTAGTCTTCTGAAGGAAGTCTCTACTCCAGCTAATATTCTGATGACTTTGGCATGTCATTGGGTGCTCTTTTCTTTAGTCATATTACTTGAGAACAGGAGAACTACTCACCTTGCTTTCTTACTGTTGCAGTATCCTTTGCCTTACTTCTTGTAGTAGTCTCTTGGTTTCCAGAAGGAGGTGGCTCCCATCTTCTCTGTGCAGAAACAGGAACAGCTGGGATAGGTGGCAGCTTCTGGCGCCATTGAAAACCATCCTTTTCCAATAAAGCCTTGGTCATTCTGGAAGAAAAATGCATTAAATTTTGTTTAAATCACCTTCTCAGACAGAGATAGCCAACAGGTGTGATCATGCTTCTGTTTCTTTGGTGACTTTTAGAATGTGACTTCCATCACAGTGATCAGGTGTAGATTCATAACGTGATTTGACATAGATGTTTCCTCTCAGATATCCTTGTGCTTATTTTGGGAGAGCAACTACTGCAGCTTCACATGCTACACTAATCCCATCAGTCATGTGAGTTAATGCCTTTTTCTTGCCTCCAGTGATGAAATAAAAAAGTGGTGAAACAACTGCCTGTGTATACCGGCCAAAGTCCTGTTGCTTAGAACAGTAAATTGCAATTTAGCAGACTATGTTGGAGTTAGCCCGTTTGAAACAAGGAAGCGGTCTCACCAAATCCCCATAGATTCAGTGGGTCTACTGTAGTGTGATTTGCTATGTTAAATACTAGGTGTTTGGCCTCTGAATCAAATGTGCTCACTGGCTCAACACTGGTGACAGCAATTTTCTTTGCTCTAACAGAAGCAAACAACCACACAGCACTTCTGTGCCTCAAAAAATGTGAGGAAGCCATTTGTTGCACTAAATCTTGGAGATGCTTGGAAAACCATCCTATTCCCAGGTGCTTTTAAGCATCAAAGCCTTCAAGTAGTGGGAATGAACACTCATCCCCACCCTTATCTGTGATGGAGAAGTAGAAGCTCACCCTACCCTCTTTGAGTATGGCATATAAGAAAGACAGGAGCAGAATTAGAACATATTCAGTCTGGCTACCATGCACCTGTGCTTTCATGAGCAATCTTCTTTGGTATATGCTGAATGTACTCTGGAAATTAGTTTAGGACTAGGCTAAATGATCTTGATTTATAAATACACAAACACTTCATTTTATGCATACAGGTATGAAGTGGTCGATGCTTCTTGTTTTCCCCATATCTAAAAGCATGGACATGTTATCCTAGCAGGGGATGAATTATGTCAGTTTAGAAATTTCAATGTATTCATTTAAAACGGAGGACAAACATTACCTATTGATGCCATCATGTGCAGCCTGTACAGAACAATCTACTTGCAATACAGTTTTATAGTCCACGTAGGCTAAACTGTATCTCTCAAGAGCTTCGTAGGCTGCAGCTCGTCTCAGCAAGGGTTTGATTCCAAAAGGAACAAGTTCCAGAGCACTAAATTAACAGAAAAGAGGAGAAGAGGTCAAATTAAGTGGCGGAGTCTGCAGCACCCAAACTCAATTATTGAGAAGTGGATTACTGTGAACAACATCTATTTATGCAACATTCTGATTAACTATACAGTTTGTTTGGCTAAGCTGGATTCCCAACCATTGCAACATTCTGATTAACTATACAGTTTGTTCGGCTAAGCTGGGGGAAGTGATCATCACAATCTGAAGTGTGAATGTCTTAGGTGCATCCACGACATCAGTGTTGTGGTGATATGCTGAGTCACAAAACACCCGTTTTCCAGAAGGGAAATGGAGGGGGCTAAAAGAAAAGTAACTTGTCCAAAAACTTGAGTAAAGGCAAAGGTGACATTTAGAGCTCTGAAATTAAAAGCACTTTGTTGAACCCATGACTTGTAAACTGCTGAGGCTCAAAGAGCGAGAAGCTTGGTCAAGAAACAGAGTACAGAGGCAGAGGCTGGGTCTGAGCCCCAAATGCTAAATCATGTATTTGACACCATGAAGCACTGAAAACATGGATGTTCAGGCAGGCCTTCCCCCTTTCTACCTAATACCTTCTTTTTCAGTTATAATATATCCCGTTTCTCACCATCTTTGGGAAAAGTTTTTATTCTATCTTTTAATTTATGTAAATTATTATTTGTGATGAGGTTTGTTATATGTTTATTTTTTAAGTGCATATTGTAAGCCGCCTAGAGTGGTCACAACTGACTAGATAGGCGGGGTATAAATGAAATAAATAAATAAATAAAATAAAAAAAGCTTGGTCAAGAAACAGAGTACAGAGGCTGGGTCTGAGCCCCGAATGCTAAATCATGTATTTGACACCATAAAGCATGACAAATATTAATTTTAAAGAAGGCAATCTGGAGATGCTCCAAGAAACACCCACTAGCCAAACACCCACTCCCTCCCTCCCTCCAGAAGAAGAAGAAAAAAACCAACCTGGCAAAGTATACACCTAATCTCTCCCTTAAAAAAAAATCAAAATAGTATCCTAGACAGTACAGAGAGAACACATTTAATCCAAACACAAAGCAAAATTGACCACATCAAACAAACTAACCAAAAACTTAGGCAACACAAACACATACAGGTACATATAAACCACTTTTGGGCCTTCCCGGATGGCCCCTCCAAAACCCACAGCTCACCATTTTATTTTTTCTGGGAGCCAGATACATTGTTTTGGAAAGTGACCAGCTTGTTTGGGAAGCTTTTTCCAAAACAATTCACTTTGAAAACAATGAAACCAGGCCAGACTTTTGTAAGGCAAAAGTCCAGCCTGATTTCATTGTTCTCATAGATATGGTTCAAAACATGCTGAACTACAATGACTCACAATTTTTACTTTCGAAGATTGCCATACGGCATCCCGAAAAATTGGAAACAAAGACAGTGCCAGAGACTGGTGCATCCTTCTGCAGTGCACCAGCCTTCTGCTTTTCTTCAATTTTTTTTTAAATTTAAAACACCTTTTAAAAATAGGTAAAAGGAGGAGAGTTTCACAAATGCCAAGAAAGGTGCCAGTGGTCATTATGTTGGGGACACCAAGATCAATCACATAAAATGTACTGTTTTCTAGATCACTGAAATAAGGAATTCTGAAAAATTATTCTCAATTGTTGCAAAAATGCAGCTTTCCATGACTCAATTTTCATATGCAAAATAGTATTAGACACATACATTTATTTATTTACTTCCATTTCTATACTACCCTACTAGTGTTGACACTCTCAGGGCCATTCACAATATACAACAAAATCAGATTTCATATGCAAAATAGTATTAGACACATAGATTTATTTATTTACTTCCATTTATATACTACCCTACTAGTGTTGACGCTCTCAGGGCCATTCAACATACATTTATTTATTTACTTCCATTTCTATACTACCCTACTAGTGTTGACACTCTCAGGGCCATTCACAATATACAACAAAATCAGAAAAAACACTATACAATACAAAAATACTATAAAACTTAATAAACCATGTCCCTAGCTAAAAACCACATTTAAATAAAAATATACAAATTAAAACAATCTGAATATCTCAGGACAATATTTACAATTGGTAGAAGGCAGTTTTACATAATTCAGTCTTAAATAGCTTCCTGAAAGCAGAGAGGGATGTTGCCTGGTGGACCTCTGTAGGAAGCTTGTTCCAGAGGGAAGAGGCCAAAGCCGAGATAGCACAAGTAAGATAAAATGAGTATTGCTTATTATAGGGATGACTCCTATATATTAAAAAAAATAGTTGGAATTGGATTTTCCTATCTCTAGTTTTGGTGGAATGATGTATTGTAATGATATGTATTGTACTGTATTGTACTGATATGATTAATTTTCTAATCCACTGGCAATCACTGATATTCTTTTCCCACCAGTTACTTATAATGGGCACAGTAATTGGGATTATACATGGTACATAAGGTAAAGGTAAAGGTTCCCCTTGACAATTTTTGTCCAGTCGTGTTCCACTCTAGGGGGCAGTGCTCATCCCCGTTTCCAAGCCATAGAGCCAGCGTTTTGTCCGAAGACAATCTTCCGTGGTCACATGGCCAGTGTGACTTAGACACGGAACGCTGTTACCTTCCCACCAAGGTGGTCCCTATTTATCTACAGTACTTGCATTTGCATGCTTTCGAACTGCTAGGTTGGCGGGAGCTGGGACAAGCGACGGGCGCTCACTCCGTCGCGTGGATTCGATCTTATGACTGCTTGGTCTTTTGACCCTGCAGCACAGGCTTCTGCGGTTTAGCCCGCAGCGCCACCACGTCCCTTATACATGGTACATAGTAACCAAGAATATGGATAATCTATACTAGGGTATTCCTGAAAGCTCTAAAATAAGGAAAGCTGACAGGAAATGAATGAAATCATTCAAAATGTGGTGTTGGAGGAGAGCTTTATGGATACCATGGATTGCCAGAAAGACAAATAATTATGCTAAATCAAGTCAAACCTGAATTCTGCCCAGAAGCAAAAATGACTAAATGAAGTCTGTCTACATCATGAGAAGACATGACTCATCAGAAAATACATTAATGCGCAGAAAGTGGAAACCAATAGGAAAAGAAGACTAAATATGGGATGGATTAATTCAATAAAGGAAGCCACATTCTTGAGTCTGCAAGATCTAAGCAGGGCTTTTAATGATGGAATAGGGTCATTGTGCTTTAGAAGAAACTTTATAGCACATAACAACATAATCTACACCATAACAAAACTTGAAATGTTATAAATATTTTGATAAATTTGTGAAACTGAATCAATCTCTATTATGACCATGTCATTCTCTGTATTTGCCATTTCTAATACAAACGTTACAGACTGGTGCTCAGGTTGCGATTCTACACACACTTACCTAGGAGTGAGTGCAAATGAGACTTACTTGTGAGTTAACTGCCCAGTATTGCCAAGGGAAGTCAACATTTCAATCCCCAGACCTAGGAATTAGAGCCCCAGTGCCTGACATTCACATCAAGAGTTTGATGCTGGAGGGAAGAGGCATTACAGATGCTGCTTCTAGCTGTGGGTGGCAGGTCATTTTTCAATAATATAACTGCAAATTTCATCTTTGCCTCCTGCTATTTTGACAGCTTAAGCATCAACACTGAAAGACATTCCCTACTTCCTAGCCGGGATGACAGTGTGATTCCCCTCCTCTCTGGCTAGATACTCCGGACAGGTGTATGGCTAAGCCAGAGACACTGCTTCAGTCCTTCTAGCCTGGGAAGTAGTTCTGAATAGATAGAACTGGTCATTCCCCATATAAACACATATAGAGCTTTAAAGGGTTACTTTTTGGGACTACAACTTCCAAAAGCTCCCAGCCAACATGATTATGGGATTCTACAAATTATACTCTCCAAAAAAAGCAACTTTGGCAAGTTCTTTTGGGATTCAAGAGGCACCATGGTCTGAGAAATCAAGTTTAAGAACTAGGCATTTGCTACTCTGTTCTCAGGATTGCAGCTACTTACTCAGAACAATCCTTAATGCAGAGGCTACAGTTCCCATCCTTCAAATAGCAGGCAGCACGATTGGAATAAAGAATGCTCTTCTCTTCTGCGTTTACATCCCCTATGTATGAAGAAAGTACAAAGTCATCAAGTCAGCCTTCTAGATATGAGCAAAGCACCTTTGATGTTAATACAATTGAATGGGATTTAGAGTTAGCATCTCTTCCTCTGTATGGTTCTTTTCTGCTCTCTACATTGTGGCCTTCAAGCTAGTAAGTATTATTTGTAAAAGGACTGTGCCTTTATGATCCTACTAGTAAGTATTATTTGTAAAAGGACTGTGTCTTTATGATCCTACTTGAGTGTTAAGATAATCAGGAGAGGCCTTTCTCTTGGTCCCACCACCTTCACCGGTGCGCTTGCTGTGACACAGGAGAGGGCCTTCGCTTTTGCTGCTTCTCTTCTGCCAGATTTTGGGACTCTCTCTCACAAGCTTTCTGTGAGTGAGTGGCTGCCTGAGGGGGGGGGTGTTTAATGGATCGTTGTGCTTTACTGCTTTGACTGTGGTTTTGGTAAATAAACTGGTATTTGTTTACAATTTTTAGTTTGGTGTTTGCTTGATCCTTTTTAGTATCTGTATACATACTATTTTTACTTTAAATGTTGTATTTTAATGATGCAACCCACCTTGGGTCCTCTTTAAGGAGCAAGATGGTTTAAAATATTTTAAGTAAATAAATAATCCTGTCAGAGAAAAACATCAGAGGCTATGTAATGCTGAAACTAATGGAGAAAGCACTGAGGTGTTATCTACCCCTGCTAGTGACTGGTTATAAGCAAATATAAATATAACTGTTCTGAAACAAATACAGGTTTTTGTAGTTCCACAAAGACCAGAGGCAGATATTATGTGTTCTTTAGAAAATGGCTTCCTGGGTTACACAAAGCTCAGCTCTCCAGAGAGTACTACCTCCTTTCATTTAATAATAGGACTTCTGAGGCCCTTAATTGCATCCCCCATTTCAGCATGCTTTGCTTTCAGTTAGAAATCTGCTATCCCTCATGTTAAAGGAAATCCACAGGATACAAAGGATACACTAGGAAACAGGTCAAGGCCAAAGCTAGAAAGCAATTCAATTGCTTTCTGTCCCTTACCATAATTCCATGAGGAAGTACAGAAAAGAAACAGAAAGTGCCCTTGGGACACTCAGAGAGATAAAGAAGAAATGAAACAAAAAGCATGCTGTCCAACTCCTGCCTCTCAGGCAAAATTCTGTGAGTAACCAAAACTCTCTCATTGTGACACAACCACTGCAGCAGAAAGCCTGCTGACATAATAAGTCTGAGGCTGTGCAGCAAGTCTCAGAGGCTCCCAGAAAGTTTAAGACCAGGCCATTATGAAGAACTAAACCTTCCACTTCTACATCCACTACAACTTGCCACTTTTGGTATATGTACTCCATGATCTGCCCACTCCAGGAATATGCAGCACGACAAAGAATGCTGTTCCATATTAATCCAGAGGACCATAACACACCTCTGCTCTGCCTAAGAAGCTGGTAAAAAGCCCAGAGCGCCCAAAACCAGCTGATGGGATGGAGTTTTTATATTCTGCCATCAGGTACTGTTTTAAAATATTCTGGGTACTAGAATATTTGGAGCTTTAAGGACATTGCTCTGGACTGTAACTGGGTGTTTATGCTTTATTGCCCTCCAGCCAGAATCTATACCTATAATACAAATTCTTCATAGACACATAAGGGTCTTATTGCAGCCAAGCAAATTCTAGAAAAACCAAGTTAAGCTTCAGCATATAGTACATGTCCTCTGGGAAAATCTTAACAGTGATACAGGCAATCTGCTCAGTTTTAAAGCAATGCTGCATCAAAATCTCTAGCCATCCTGTCTAGCTAAAGTGAAAATATTTTAATTGAAGATGCTGGACTTGTCTAAAGGCTTCACCTTTATCACATGTGCATATCCACTCAATAACAGAATTACTGATACTCCAAATTTAGACGAATCTTTGTCTAATCCTGTGGCTTCCAAAAAACATCCCCCCCCGCTCAGTTTCATCTGCTGGTACAATGGGTATAATCATCTCACAGTGATGTTTCTGCGAGTGCCATAAAGACCTTCAATAATTTTGCAGATATCCTACATAAGTGAAACTCATAGGAAAGCACAAGTTTTGGGGCAAGGGAGGAGGTGAAGGAATTGATTTCACAAGAAAATGCTTGGTAACAGAATATTACATTGTGCTATGTTTCCTCCTAATATATCTTTTAAATGTTTTTTACATTGTAATCTATTTTATATTGTGATTTTAATGATTCTTTGTTTAATAATTTTTAAGTTGCTGTTTATATACTATTTTTCATGTTCTTTTGATGGTTGGTGAGCCGCCTTGAGTCCCACTGCTGGGAGAAAGGCGGCATCACAATTCGATCAATCAACAGAAATGGGCCATGAAGCCAAATACTGTACATTACCTAACGCTGATACCCAAAGAAGCCCTTTAGAGATGAACAGTAGTTTGTAGCTAAATGAGTGCAAGGGCTCTGAGAGGGGAGGCTGCACTGAGAAAAGAGAAGTTCTAACTGCCAAGGTGAGAGGAAAAGACACCTGAGGTGGTTAAAAAGACAAAACAAGCCAAACACTGAGGGGGGGGCAAGATACCTCCCCCACGTGCCCTACCCAAGCAAGGCCTCTCTCTCTCACCCTCGGATCCCCCCTCTCGCTAGGGCTGAGGCCTTGCTTGCTAGGGATTCGCCCTCCGCCGCTGCCACTAATATACCTGCCGCTTCCAGCAACTCCAGCGCCCGGCCGTAGAGGGCAGCCGCTTGGCTGTACTGCCCGTTGCGGAACTGTTCGTTCCCCGCTTGCTTAAGGCCCGGCCACTGCGACGCAGGAGCCATGAGGAGGTCCGGGGAGGGAGGAAAGGGGGAGATCTCAAAAAGCCGGCCGGTACGACGGCGCCGCCTCCCCTTATGGAAAGTATCAGCCGCCGCCGCCGTAGTTTCCTTTCCCCGTGCTCGGTTAAAAGGAAGGGCGGGCGCCATCCGGCGGCGCGACTCCTCCTCTTTCCTTCAGAGGCGCCTGTGCGCCAAGCGGCCCCGACGCCGCAGCCCGTAGGCGGTTCGATCCTCTCTCTCTCTCTGCGCCTGGGCTCACAGCACTGTCTACTCGGACACACCGGGTTTTGTTGTTTTTAATGGGAATTTCCCCTCAATTGGTGTATGCAGGGGTAGGCAACGTGTATTCACTCACACTGAATGGGAATGTTATTAATTGTTCCGTGTCCCCTTTAAAAGAAGTGGTATCTCTGTCATATCATTAAAGCAAAGTCCAGTTTTAGACCAAAAGGGAGTAACATGAGGTGACTAACAAGCTGTATTCATTTAGATTTGCCTTTCTAAGAGGATAACATGTTTTCTTTTTTTCTTTTACTAACAAGCACATTGTGGTCTGTTAAGGTCTACCCAGTCTGTTGTGGTGCAGACCTCTGTCAACCACTGATCATTTCTCAAGTGAAGTGATGAAGCATCTGTCTGCTCCAGGGCTGGCAGACTTTTGACACTCCAGATGTTTTGGACTATATCTCCTGCAGTCCTTTATCACTAACAATACAGGCTGGGGATTCTGTAAGTTGTCCAAACCATGGAGTGCCAAAGGTTCACTATCCCTGGCCTAGTCCATGTTAACTCTGGACATATGTCAGAGTATCTTTTATATACAGTATTTATATCAAAGCCAGGTTTTCTAAGCATAACAGAGGCACTTTAAAGGTTGGCATAAGCTTCATGATGTACTGTAGTTTATACAATAATAAAACAGCCTTTGAAGTGCCAAAAATATCCACCCTATTTTTTTGGAGCTGCCGGAACAAATAATTGCCCTCTAGATAGAGCCTTGAGTCTGCGGAAGACCATGAAAATACTATATGCCATAATACATCTGGTAATAAAGATTCTCATAGACCTCTGCATGTTTACTAAAAAGAACCTTATTTATTTATTTGTATTGCCTATCTGGCTACAAGGCCACTCTGGGTGGTTTACACTCAACAGAATGGCACATTAAAATATAAAACAAACAAATCAAAATTTACAACATACACAATAAAGGATATCAACTTAGACATGAATAATAACAGTTTAATGGCAAAAAACAGAGCAGAAATAAATACTGAAAAGTGCAGCTGCAGTATTCTGATGTAAACTCCAGAAAAGCCTACCTAAAGAGCTATGTTTTCAAAAATCATTTAAAAGTTCCCAATGAAGGGGCCAGGCAGATATCAGATGGAAGATCACTCCAGAGATGGGAGGTCACTACTGAGAAGGCAGTTACACATGCACTGGTAACATCTCGTATAGATTACTGCAATGCACTCTACGTGGGGTTGCCTTTGAAGATGGTCCAGCGACTGCAACTGGTCCAGAATCGAGCTGTGCGGCTGGTGAGTGGTGGGGCCGCTAGGGAACATATCAAGTCAATTCTATTTAAATTACATTGTCTACCAGTTGCTGTCTGGGCCCAATTCAAGGTGTTTGTTTTGACATATAAAGCCCTAAACAGCTTGGGCCCTGGATACCCAAAGGATCGCCTCCTTCCATATGAACCTACCCGGCAATTAAGATATAGCCAGGGGGCGCTTTTGAAAGAGCCATCCCTCAAGGAGGTAAGAGGGATGGCTTGTAGAGAAAGGGCGTTTTCATTAGCTGCCCCCAGACTATGGAATGCCCTCCCGACTGAGATTCATCTGGTGGTGACGCTCTGGCACTGACATTTCAGTGCCAGGTCAAAACCTTCCTGTTCCAGAAGGCTTTTAATTGAAATAATATCAGCTGTGGGTCCTGATGGCAATTTTAGAGTATATATTTTAATTGCTTTGTCTTTTTATTGTAATTTAAATGTTGTAAGCTGCCCAGAGACCTTTGGGTAGTGTGGGCGGCATATAAGTTAAATAAATAAATAAATAAAAATAAGGCCCGGTTTCTAGCCTTCTTTCCAGGCCTCTCTTGGGGTAGGTAATCTCAAATGCCCCGCCTGGAAGGATCAAGTGAGTTGGATCGATCTCACCAGAAGGAGGCATTCTGTTAGGTATCAAGGTCCCAAACTATTTAGGGCCTTGTATGTCAAAGTCATCACCTTGAAGTTGGCACATTCCAAACAAATCATTTTTAGTCCTGTCAGCTTTGCTAACCAGCTTTCACACCCATACATAATGGTCAGAAATACAAGAGTGTGGATGGTATTGGTCTCCAATGACAGATACTTACCTTTGAATACCTTTTCTAATTCCTTCATTGCTCCCCTTCCTAGTCTTGGCCTTCTCCTGATTTATTGGCTGTTGTCTCTGTTTGCATTGATGATTGAATGCAAAATCTTTCTCTATTTCACACTTTTCATTGCCCACATTAAAGTCATGCATAGTTCTTCTGTAGCCACTCTCAGTTTCACACGCTCAAACCCCTTCACCACGTTAAGGTGTGCATCCAAGAAGTGTGTGTTGGACTGATATCATTATATTGAATCTCCCTCAAACCCCTTCACCACGTTAAGGTGTGCGTCCAAGAAGTGTGTGTGTTGGACTGATACCATTATACTGTATTGAATCTCAAGGTTTCAGTCTCCAATGAGACATGAAACTGATTGGTTAAATTTAAATCAGTCACAGTTTCAGCCAGAACAACCTGACTAGATTGTTTTGGGTTGTTTGTTTAGTCATTAAGTTGTGTCCAACTCTTTGTGACCCCATGGACCAGAGCATGCTGGGCCCTCCTGTCTTCCACTGCCTCCCAGAGTTTGGTCAAATTCATGATGGTAGCTTCAGTGACACTGTCCAACCATCTCGTCCTCTGCCGTCCCCTTCTCCTCTTGCCTTCACTCTTTCCCATTATCAGGGTGTTTTCCAGGGA